ATCCCACTCAGTTTCCTGAGACTTTTCCTATTATTTGGCTTAAAACTCAAAACCAGAATTCAAACCAAAAAAACAAATGGATGTATTTACTATGGTGGAAGTTCTGATTTCCATCTGCGCCAGGCGACCCCCGAGTGTTTTCCGTCCTCACGTAGATCACCTTCTTGCCTCAGTCCAATAGCACGTTTTCTTAACCAAAGACCATTATGGGAACTGCATATAAATAAAGACTGTTACTTAACAGCCTAAGGAATACAGTTAAGTAAACCTAACCTTCATGTAAGGTGGACTGCAGCCAACATCTGACAACCATTCACATCCTTTCTGTGTTTTCCTACGCATGGTCTAATTGGATCCTTGGGCTGACCTTGAGTTGCTTCCTAAAGCTGTGCCTCTCTTTCACAGTGGAGGGGTCAGTCTCAGAGAAATTAAAGTGGTTTTCCTGAGAACAAAATCCTAAACGCTGAAAGCATGTGTCAATCTATTTTCTGATTCCAACTCTTTTTCCTGCGTTTGTCTTTGTGCCTTCAATTCCATGCGCAAATCATTACATCGGGGGGGGGGGGTTGCAAACCACCAAAGCGGCAAACATTTTGCTCATTTTTTCAAAAGTTATGAGCAGTTGCAGAGGCCACCAATGTCTGGTAATTTCAGCCAAGACAGCAGATAAATTCAGGTCCAAGACATATTCTCACCCGAATCCCCAGCATAAATCCTGAGCTTGGCCTTAACCTATAAAGCTTCCCAGTTGTTGGATTTCGTTTACATCATGTGACTATTTGCGGACAGGCAAATCCTCAGCAGGATAAATTCCCACTGGCCAGCTAAAGCCCACAATTAACATTTTATTCTGCATATATTCTGTATATATTTACACCTATCTGCCTGTTCATCCCTCTGCCGAGCCAACAATCCAAATAGCTTTTCTAAAATTGCAGACATCAGTCAACTTGCATTGCATCAGTCAGCATGCATTTCAGGAGATACCCAGCTAGACATGAAAGCAAAAAAATGCACATAATAAATACACAAATATTAAGTGTACCGTTAGGCAGGTTTTGTGGAATGTGGACATCATCTCAAACTGTAGGTGTGGAGTCTCAGCCTGCTCTGGACTGTTTCCTCCCATTTCATCCTTCATCTACCATTTTACCATCTCTCGCTTTCTTCTTTTCTACATGTTCATGTGGATGGAGACTTACTTTGCTTTCCTGTACAAGGGAAATAGTTTAAGATACTATTTAAAATAATATTTCTAAGATACATTCATGTTGTTCTGAGCACAAGGAGCTAGTTATTTTTACTTGTCGAGTATGACAATATTTTTTTAAATATATATTAATTTTTTAACCATTTTCTTCTTGATAGACAATTAGACTTTTTTTGCAGTTTTGGATTTGTCCAAATAGACCTTACAAGCACTCTTATAATGAATCTATCTGTGAGTGTTCTAATTGAAAGTGGGCAATTACTTGGGAAATGGGACTGCCAGGTCATAGGATAAATGTATATTTAGTTGTATAAGAAATTATCAGAGTTTTTTCCAAAAGACTTGGACCTTTTTAACTCCAACTAACAATATGCCAGAATTTCTGTTGCCTTGCTGTTGCTCACCAATGTTGGTGTTAGCAGAATGTTTTCCATTTTAGTCATCCCCCCTGGTCTCCGTCGTATTACTTTTGTTTGTAAGGCCAGGATCTCCACAGTTGAGGGTTTCCGTTTTCAAAAAATGCCTTGAATAGTATCTGCACTCAAGTCCCTCTGTGACTGGAAACTCAAGGTTTCTTCAGCGAACTTAGGTGTTGATTGGAAGCAGATTTAAAATTTGTCATTTATTTCAAACGGTTCTGGGGTTAACTGGAGCTCCAAAATTTGAGTTCTTGATAATTTGTTTGAGCTAATTCTTAGGGTGGTTTTTGTTTTTGTTTTTTTGTTTGTTTTTTTTTTTGTTTGTTTGTTTTGTTTTTTTCTCTATGACACTGAGGTTTTCAAATTAATCAAAATCGTCAGTTTGGCTCTTTGCTTAAACTCAGTACAGGAAAAAAAATCACAATGTAACAGTTAACTTATGAAGTTTCTTAGATTATTACCAAAGGGGTGACTCTCCTCACTGACACTTGACAGGAAGTGAGTCATTTGGAGTAAGCACAAGTAATATTGGGAAAGTTGCCACCAACGTTCCCCATGGAGAGTCCACAGGTCTCATTTTACTTTAGTGTCAGTGTTTCCTTAGGGCTTGTAATCTATGCTTAAAATTTTTCAAGTGCATAAATGTTTTGTGGTTTGGGCTTTGCTTTGTTTTGTTAGCTTAAGTTTATTTTTATTTATTTATTTTTCATTTCCTACCATTCTCCATAATTCAGTTTTTTCTTGTTATAAAAATAACCAAGTGCATTTTATGCTTCTCATGAAATAAGATGTTCTGGCCCTTGCCTGCCAGCCCTGCGCCATGGAGGCAAAATCAAAAGGGTGAGGACTTCCAGGCCAGCTTTTGCTACAGAGTCTGAGGCCAGCCTGGGCTACTTAAGGCCCTGTTCAGTTGTTGACACCTTATTTAATTAACAGCTTGTAATACTAGCCACATTCTAACCACTGGACAATGTATCTTTTTGTGCACTTTTAGGAAGGGCAACAGCCATGTGCTTAAGGGCTCTAAAATGGAAGGAATAAATTGCTCATGTGAAGAGGTTGATGCACTCTGCTCTAGACATTGCAAAACACAAACACAAACGAAGCCTTAGCTCTTCTACTGTTTTTGTTCTCTTCTTTCTGCAACTTCAGTTTTGTGATATACGAAACGATACTATTTGAGAATTTGTATACATTTTAGCAAGGAAAATCATAGTGCAGCTTTTACATGGGTTAATTTCATCAGATTGTTTTTCTGCCACACTTGCTCAGCTCCTTCCCATAATATCTGTGAGAGGCACAATGATCCCAGTTTCTAGAAAGCCTTCATGAATTTGAGACACTGTCAGATTACCCCCCCCCCAGAAACAATTTGATTTAAACATCCCAGTCTCTGTTCTGACTTGCGTTTCCTCAGAACATAATGCATTGCTTTTCTTTCTAGTTGCAAAATAATAAAATACGCTGCTTCAAAAGATATGTAATATAGTAGTGTTTTGGAGAACAACCCCCCCAGGCACATATTTTGCTCCTTTCAATAGAAGAAGACCCTGCAGCTTGGAGTGACACTGTGCTGGCCAGTTTTCTGTCTCATAAATGTGCAGAACATATGACAGAGTCACCATAAGGTTTGCTTCTTTTCCTGTTTTTCTTTAATCTGCATACGAGCCACCAAGACCAATGTCATAAACAGATAAAAACAGGCAGCTGTAATCGAGACGGTTAAACAGTATAAAACAGATCTGTTTGCCTTTGACTATTTCCTCCTGCCTTGCCTTTGGAATAAGGCATTGTCTTCAGATTTTTTTTTCTAAACTAAGGAATGGATAATATACCAGGATCACGTTTTTCTTTTATTTTGGGGGAACTGTTAACTGCAGTATTCCTTCAGAATCTAGCAGCACCATTAAGAAATGGGACACAGCCAGAGAAATTTCTAAAGACTAGAGGTGATATAAAATTGTGGTGTGTGTGTGTGTGTGTGTGTGTGTGTGTGTTTACATGTAGTGAAGTGATATGGAATGGGGGGAAGGTCTGGTAACTTGAAGGTAGAAGATTCCTGAGGTTTTCATGGGAGATTCACTTCCTCCAGACAGTGATTTAAAGCTGGCTCCATGTGAGACAAATTAAACAGAAGCAAGATGGTGTTTTTAACTTCCAAATAAAGCCAAATTTTGCACAGCAGTTCTGGGATACAGTTTGTTCTATTTGACCCTGAAAGACCCAGGATAACTGTGCAGGCGTCATGATATGGAGGCTGAGAATTTTGCATTTTTCTGAGTTATATAAGCCACATGGTAAGATAAACTCTTGTTCGCCGATGAAATAGTATTGAAAATGAAAACTAATTTTCACTGTCAGGTACTTGGTACATAAGATTTGTTTTAACTTAAAAACAAAGTGGCCAATTTTTTTTTTTCTTGCCACTGGTCCACTTTACAAAGAATTGAATCTAAATGCTGCAGTATTTAATCAGATTTCATTTAATTTTAAATGAGTGAAAGAGCAGAAATAAAGATAACTTATCAGGACATTTAACAGAATTCACCTTTAGGCTTTCTTTAACATCAAATTGATCTGTAAACACTTCCTTTCAGTTTATATCACTCAACACATGCTATCCTGGTTGCATGCAAAATAGTTTCATTTTATCAACATATGAATTGTCTCCTTCAAAAACTGAAAGTGATCACTCCATCTTTTATCATATTTACATATGAATTCAAACATAAATTCAACATTCGTGTAGATTTAGATTGCCCAGAATAGCTATTATAACTTAATAACTTTTTCTCTTTTATCATAAAATATTTATTTTTATCATTAAAAACGTTTGGGTTTTCATAAATTAGGCATAGCAAACAATAAAAGAATATATCTTAGATTAAAACAAAAACCTTGATTAAAAAAAAGTAATTTGAAAATTGGCTCTCTAATCATATTAAGGTTTGGCCCTGATATCAGAGATGTCTTCTAAATGCTAATTGAATGGACCGTGTTAGTCTGTCTAGAAACAGAGGTTTTCGATCTCTCTTTGAAGCTAGGAGATTATTATGCTTTAAGTGTATTTTGGAAATTTCTTCCTACGGCTAAATTGAAAATGTCTGATATTCTCAATTACTTCAAGCGTTTATGATTCTAAGCTCCCAGCAGAACCCGCTGCCAAGGCAGGGAGGGCAAGAGCGGTTACTCAGAAGGACACTTATGTAAGAACCATCAGGGTGGTTACAGGCTGGAGAGCAGGGAACCGTGTATTTCAGTCCAGGCTTTAAGGAATCTTTATTGAGCGTTTTCTCCTCTCAGAGCTGAGACAAAGGCTGATGACTGAGTCCTGAGACTGTCCACAGCTTTGCTCTTTCGTTCTGCTGCAGCCCGGAAGATGGTGAGATCCATCCCGAAATCTGCCGGCTTTACATCCAGCTGCAGTGTTGCCTAGAGATGTACACAACGGAGATGCTGAAATCCATTTGTCTGCTGGGGTCTCTTCAGTTTCATCGAAAAGGTACACACATGCAATCGGATGCCAGAGACACAGAGAAAGAGCAAGCAAAGCTGACCTTTTGCCAAGTGTCCTGTACTGGCCCAGCCACACAAGCAGGAGTTTAAATCTTCAAAAGAAAAGCAGGATATGGGAATTAGTAAAAAGCCCATATCACTGCTGTCTAAACGCATAAGGATTGAAACTGTGGTAGAAACTGTGCTTAAATGTATCCTTTTCTTCACCTTGTGAATGCGACTTTCACTAGAATTTACAAAGGCTGCAAAGGTCTTAGCAGAGTGGTAAAACACTCCCTGAGAGCCCTGTTTCTCTAAATGAAATGTAAAGAGGCAAATTGCATAGTGTCCCAGTTACTTCAAAACAGGAGGGAACTCCACAAATTAGAGAGAGGTGTGAGCAGAGGCGAATCTCACTGGCTTAAACAGTCAATAGAATGTAGTGACTTCAGCAATGGGAGGTGCAGCTTCAGCAACGCGCTTCAGGACTCCCATTCTGACTGAGGCTGCCTTGGAGGTGTTGACACTCCTCTCAAGCTTCCTTCCCCCACATTAGCAAACTGACTGCCACAGCCCTGGTCACCAGCTATAACACACCGGTTGACTCCTAAAGGAGGGAAAACTAATTCCAGTTATAACAGAACAGATCTGGGCTTCATTCTAACTGAATAACATCCTCTTTCTTGAGTAGCGGAGGGCTGAAATTCCACTGATTGGCTTTAAGTAATGAAGGTCTGCTCGTGAAGCTAGAACAGTCTATCTGTAACATGCTAGGAAGAGGTAGAACGGAAGGCTGCTTGGCTTCCATTGCTAAACCATTTGGCTTATATTTTATTTTTAATTCATCAAAGAATTCCATGGGAACCTCCTGAGTGTGACCTATTCAGAGTCAGGAAGATAGGAGCTGAGAATACATAGGAAGAAAGTGCCTATGATTTCAGTTTGAAGATAAGGAAGTTCAGTAAGCGGGGTAGGAGAAACGTCAGGCAACGAAGCAGTTAATGATTTGAAATCAAAGAGTATTGCAATTCGGTGACAGCAAAATGCTGTGATCATTTAGTCACGAGAAGCAAATTTTGCATATATGTGTATGTGTGCATACAGCAGAACCAGAAACAGGAGTTTTGCTGCTTTCTTTCCAACACAGGATATTTTCTCAATACATGAGTACTACTTCTTTCCTTGATCTTTCTACAGGCTGATCTTTCAAGAATTATCATGTTTATGTCTATGGTTAATAAGAGAGAGTAGAGACCTGATAGGCTGGGGTCAGATGGAAGGGGAGAAGGACCTCTCCTATCAGTGGACTTAGAGAGGGTCATGGAAAGAGATGAGGGAGGGAGGGTGGGGTTGGGAGGAAATGAGGGAGGGCGCTACAGGTGGGATACAAAGTGAATAAGATATCATGTAGCCCAGTCAGGCCTCCAGCTCCTATGCAACTGAGAAGGACCTTGAACTTCTGATTCTCCTGCCTCTGCTCCTACAAGCGTTAGGATTACAGGGCAAATCTCCACCTCTGTTTTATGTGCTGATGGGGCTCCAGTTCAGGGCTTTGTGTGTGCTAGATGAGCCCTCTAACAACTGAGCTACATGCTCAGCCCCCCAATTAACTTTTGAAAGGAAACTCTCCCTTGTTCGTTCTTTTCTCTAAATTAAAAAGGATCAGTCCAGCGCGGTGGTGCACGCCTGCAATCCCAGCACTCAGGGAGGCAGAGGCAAGCGGAATTCTGTGAGTTTGAGGGTAGCCTTGTCTACAAAGTGAGTCCAGGACAGCCAAGGCTACACAGAGAAATCCTGTCTCAATTAATAATAATAAAGGATCCCTTGCTCAGATTGTTCCCTTGCACATGTTCACCAGAAAAAAAAAAAAAGCATGAGCAGTCCTTTGCTCTCCATTGCCTCCTGTCTTGACTGTCACTCTGTTTAGCCTCCCTTTCTGACTTTTCCTTTTAAAAGAAATTAAATAAGGCTGGGGATGTAGCTCAGTGGTAGAGCACTTGCTTAGCCCTTAGGTTCTATTCTTAGAATTACAAATAAACAAGCAAACAAATGAATAAGAGCTTTAATTGGCTTTGAACTCATAGCAACCCTCTTGCCTTGGTCTCTGCAGTACTGAGCTTACAAGCACCAGCCACTCACCATTCTTATTCAAGACATCACTGAAACTTCTAGCACCAGCAGTCAGTAAGCTATGAAGAAAGAAAGGAAGAAAGGAAGAAAGAAAGAAAGAAAGAAAGAAAGAAAGAAAGAAAGAAAGAAAGAA